TCGACCAATAGTGTTACATGTGTACCAAAATGCACACGCGTCTCGTCTTTAAGAATGCGTGCAGCTTTTGCGCTGACATGGCACTGCCGCAAAAATGGCTTCTAATTTTGTTCGGTGAATTACACAGATACATGTACGTGCGTGTACTTTTACGTTGTGTGTGTTTGGACCCTAATCGATCACTGTGTCCTGTACTGGTAGCTGCAATGTTACGCGAAGAACGTCATGTGATCGCATCCGTTGCGCATTTCATGCGCCTATATGACCATTTTTTTACTGTACCGGTATGTGCGTTAAGATTTCAAGTCAGAAAATCCGGACGTGCGTCAGGTCTAGGTTAGATGTCTTTGATGCGTATGTACGTACCGGTACACATGCAAATTTCATTCACAAACAGCGCCACCTGGTGTTAAGTGGTGTCCATCCACCTCTTTACCAATTCCAACCTTGAAAAATGTTGATAAGTTTTGTTCCATCATTATCACTCTTGTTTTCAACACCGACCTGCACTGAAGGCCTTAGCTATTAACAGTTTCACTAATGAGAAGGTACCCTTTAAATTCTTGCAAACCGGTAACCACGTCATCAGTTCTCAATCAGCAGATGGCATCCCAATCAGACGGGGCTGTGACGGGCACCAGTCCGCCAGCCAGAAATCATTAAATGCGACGGAGGGAGCAGCATTCGTATTGATTCACAGCCCTTACCCCCCCCCCCCCCCCCCTCCCCCCTGCTGGAAAATATTGAATTCGAAAACATTAAAGTTAGACAAATGGACTTCAGTCAATTAATTAATGGGTTCACGTGTGCAGGTGTATTTGAAATATTGAAGGCCTGAACATGTACCGTACTGTACTGTAGGGCCTACAATACATGTACACATGTACACAACAGTTTCTGGGGGCTTCTTTATAAGAACATGATCGGCTGTTACACTGTTACGCATTTGAATGTATGCTCATAGGTACTGTACACAAGTCACTGGTGTACGGGTAGGAGTGAATTCAGGCGATTCACAATGCAGTGCGCCACCAAGAGTTTGTGCATTGTGGGAGATGGTCGACAAATTCGCAGCGCGGGCTATTTGAAATGTTAAGTTTTTTCCGGTCATTAGTTTCATAAGCGTATGATTCGAGTATCTGTTTGCCCTTTTCTTTTAATCAATATTGTGTTTTTTTGTAAGGCGGCAGAATGCTATACCCCTATCTATAACAAATTAGCTCAAGTTGTCTACTGACACTCGTTCAAATGGGTCGTGTTTTGTCGATCGTAAACTTGAAAAATGGACTCTCCATGGCAAACTCTTGGTGGCGCACTACCGGTACATTGTGAATCGCCCGAATTGTTCTTTTCGGTTGCAGACCAGTAAATCGGTCCGAAATTGCCTGTGCCGGCCAAATCACGATTTGCATGCCCTCAAAATCTTCAGTATTTGAGCATGCTGTGGGCCATGAACTTGAGGGTTTGTAAAAAACATGGGTGGAAGCCGTGCACAGGACTGTGAGCTTGTAGTTCCGTTCAATTTGGATGAAATTGGGGCCCTTAAAGCACTCTGTTTTGCAATGGAGTGTAGGCATCGTTTTTCAACATGGCGATGGGCTTCAGGACTATTTTCAGGGGTGATCATCTTCGGATGGAAATTTCTCCTAAAAGTCATCAGTTAACCCCCCCAAAAATTGAAAAAGAAAATGAAAGATGATGAAATAAGCTTTAATTTGATGCGTGTCTTGAACACCTTGGAGAGTTGTGAGTATTTTTCCCGAATTTCTGAAGTGGGAGCATTTACCATTGGGGTCTATGGAAGTTTATTTACTGGTCTGCAACCTTTAAGACAACTTCACTGATGTCATGGCCAATAATTATTGAACCGAACAATTTTTTAAGGCACTCCTTTAATGCAACCCATGTGACATGTTCTGGCCGATGAGAAATGTTTGAGTATAAATATAACATCACCGCGATACATTTCCTTGTCCAAGAGGAAACCAAATTGATAAAATTATAACTTGTAAGTCACAATTCCATAAAGAAATTTTTGAGGAAGTTGATTAATTTTTTTAAAATGAAGTCTTGAAAGTAAGTTAAAAACTGTAACAAGTTATTTAGGCATGGCAAGAAAACCGATTCATTTTTCAACTTTATGTAAAATTTTGATGAAATCAAATATTTCATCTTCATGGTTAAATCCTTGAGTTCTGTTGTGGGTACTTACACATGTACGTATGTACGCAATCACGGCATAATTGGAGCCCCTGTTGACCTTGCGCAAATTAAAACGTCAACATACTGCGGCTTGCCATCACGTACCGCAAACACACGTCACCCTAGGGCTTATTCCCCCCCCCCCCCTCCCCCACCTAGCCAAAGATCGCCACTCTGCGACCCATCACGCGCTAAAACTCCTTCTGGCCTGGCCAGAAAATCAGATTTGTGGACAGGAATAAATGGATAATTACTGCAAGGCGGCGCCTTAGTGGAAGACCCATGTGTGTGCGTTGGTGTGTGGGTGTCTGTGTGTTGGGGGGGGGGGGGGAGGGGGGGGCTTTGATGGTGTGGGGGGGGGGAGGCTAGAACGACATGTGGTACTAGTCTAAGATGAAGGTCATATATTGCATGACTGATGTGAGTTAATTAACAACAGTCGACAGCTCAAACTCACATGCATGGTACTGGGTACATGTACACGGAAACATGTATGCGTTTGTTTGTGGTATAAATCGAGGACATACATGTACACGTGTAACATCATCGGTGAATCGAGGACAGGAACCAAATTGAGGACAACCTCGATTGGAAAACGTGTACAAAATCAATAAAAGCTATTGCGAAAAAGTACCGTAAGTAGTACTAACAAAGGAAAAGGGAAGAGGAACAAAAGAAAATCCTTGATTTACACCATAAACAAACGTGGGTGTACCGGTACGTGTAAGTGTCAACGTTTTGTATCCATGTGTGTTTGATACAGTGTATACTGATTGCATTCAGCACCTATCTTGGAGGTGTGTATTGTTATTTCACGAACAATGAATACACAGGTCTGCTCATGTGAATCCCTGCTGAACAAAAGCACACGCCTCAAACATGGCTGCATGCATTGCAAAACATTCTATACGTGAAGATTTCTGAGTGAGAAAAAAACGGAAACCATTTTTTGAGTGACCCGTTACAAGCCAAATCAGGTGACAATATACCGTAGCAACAGTGTATTTAGTCTAGGGAAATCAAATTCTAATGCAAAAGTGTGGTGAATGAACGCACACAGGTTTTCGAGACAGTCTTCCAATTAAACCCACACGGCTCATTAGTTCAAGCATAATGCAAGCACTTGCTAAATTACATGTACATGACTGAGTTTTAGAAATAAATGAGTGAAATTGACAATATCGTGTTTCTTGATCAAAAGTTTGTGCATGGTTTTTAATGCTTTCTCAAAAAGTGTCAAATTTGTGTAGCCTCTGAGCTGAAACTTCAACAGGTTTGATAACTAGCCATATTTAAATATCAACGTTTTCCATACATGTACCAACAAGTTAATTAATTTTTGTTCAAAAATTTATATGATGTACTTTGGCACTTTTTGATGTTGTAATTTATAACGAATCCAACCCTAGGCTACCATTAATGGTTGACAATAAAAATTGCCCTCACCTTACCCTACCTACATGTAGGTTTTGAACATTCTTCTTTAGATATGAGTTCATGTCATGCGTGGTGTCATTATTGGATACGAAAACAAATGATCCTACAGTGTATGCCTAGGGACACTAGGTCCTGGAACAGCCCAATTGGGCTACAAAACGCGCTTTGAACGAGATGATGATAATCGGAAATAACTTTTAAAAGTAGGATATAAACATCCACACAACTATCCTTTCAAAACTGGGCGTTTTTGTGTTATTCCTGTATTAAGCGTGCGTGAACGAATTTCGGGGTCCACTTTTGCGACCCCGTAAATTCGAGCTGTTTGGACGCTACATGTAGTTGTGATTTCATTCGTACGCGTAAAGTGTTCGCCTTTTGCGGACGTTGAAGAAACCACAATTTTTTGCATTGGTGATTGGTCACCGCACGCTGTTCCCGAGACACACAATGTGTATAGTGTACACTGAGAACGACACGAAAAACGTATTCGTACACCGTCGTAAACAAGCATTTTTTTCCCATCTTTTCTCGGGAACGGTAAGACATTAGGTTGGTTTCCTTTCAACCAGATGTTTGAAATAGGCTAAGTAAACAATCCAAAACATAACATTTTCGGGGATTTCAGGACCTGGTGCCCCTTTAATGAGCCAGTTTGGTATTCCAACTGCGCGTGCACACAATGATATGGGTCACGGGTCATTCAGGATAATCGAATGCGCATCGAATGCGCATGAACTCGCAGGGAGACGGGGCAAGACGTAACATCACATCAGCGATTTTATCCCAAATGACCTTTGACCTAGACTAGTACCGAACTGGTTTATTGTATTGGAGTGGAGTGCTGTGGCCTCCTGGTTAAGGGCACTGATTCGTGGTCTGTGGGTAAAGCTGCAGGTCGTGGGTTCGAGTCCTGGCGGGGTCATGGTGCGTGCGCCCTTGAGCAAGGCACTTTGTCACTCATTGCTTCTCTCCACCCAGGAGTAAATGGGTACCTAAATATGAGGGCAGTGATGGTTATTGTGATTGAATTAGCTTCCTTGCCCCTAACAGGCAGCATCGAGCTGTATACTCCCCAGGGAGCTGAGATGGTATATGGAATGTTTAATTGGCCCAATGATTAGGGGTAATAATAATGTAAAGTGCTTTGATCTTAGTTAAAAGCGCTATACAAGAACCTGTTATTATTATTGTTATACCTGATTTCTCATGCAATCTGATTTGGTTTTAAGAATACAAGAAAAATTATGTGATTTGACTGATGTCTCATGACCAAAGTTGACTAGCATTTACACATGTGCAGGTGTACATTGACCTTATTGTATTTCTTTCTCTTTTTTTCTCTGTGTGCACCTGAGCAGGTGGAACGGGAAATTGCAATTATGAAGTTGATTGAGCACCCTCACGTGCTGGGCCTCTACGACGTCTACGAAAACAGAAAATACTTGTAAGCAGATGTTTTACTTGGTGCAGTTTTCTCAGTCATAACAGCTTGTCCGTGTGTGGCACATAGATTTGGGGCAGTTGGGTGAGGGGTGGGGTTGATGATCCCTCGGTCAAGTTCTGTTTTTCCATGTTAGGCCCAAAAAAAAAGTAGTCGGTCTCTGGTCAGCGCACGTGTCGATTTTGATCATGCACGTCAATTTGTTTTTTCGTAAAAATTTTCCGCGGTAGCTACAACAGCGCCTTACATGTATATTGCCACACCGCCTCAAATTTTTGTCGTCAGCTCGACTCCAAATGATGGAGCGCATCTAGACAAATGATGGAGGACACCAAGGTATATGAGGACACAAAAAAAGCAAAATAGTACCCACCTTGTCTGTACAATCCAAGCTTGAAAAAAAAAAAAAGCAGCCCCCACCCCCCCCCCAAAAACGCATCGCCGCATCAATTCCGGAACTTTGGTCTGACCAGAGACCGACAATTTTATTTTTTGGCCTTAGTTGTCTTGCACCATTTGGAAAAGTAATTTTGACCTCTTCACCTTATCCGTTAAGGTGGAGTCAGAGGGCAATGGTTTTGTATCGCTTAGATAGGCATGAGTAAACCTTTCGTGCATTTATTGTTATTAAATTAAAATGACAAAGAATGCCCTCTGAGACACCTGCAAGGCATGAGGTCTATTGCCAGTGGGAGGGGGTGGGGGATCTGGCATGAATTTGAAGGTATTTAAGCAAAATCTTCTTTGTGGTCAAAATCTTCAAAGGTTCAAATCTATAAAAGCATTAGGACATGTGAACATACAGGATTTCCCCCCAAAAAAGTTGCCCAAGCAGATTTCCTTTAATTTGTCAAAAACTCACCTACCATAACATGAATGTTTCATCTTGATGGGGCACATTACATGTACTTACACTCTTGTATGTTCAGTCAAAATGCCATGGAAATCTGTTCACGATACAAACCAGAGATCTATAAATGTAACAGATTATGAAAGGCTATGGGGTTTTTACCCATTCCAATGGAATGAGATTTACACATTTAAATTAATTTACATCAGAGTGAAAAGGCCCATGACAATCTGATGCCTCCAAGCCGCCCTCCTGGGTGCGCCACTGTTTGTGAGGACTTGTGATTGACTTGTCAGGACTTGTCTTTGACTTATGAGGACTTGTGGTGGCCTTGTGATGGGCTTGATGTACATTGTTTTAACTTCATTGCCCACTCTTCTTTGCAGATATCTTGTATTAGAGCATGTCTCAGGAGGGGAACTCTTTGACTACTTGGTCAGGAAGGGACGGCTCACGCCGCGGGAAGCCAGGAAATTCTTCCGACAAATCATCTCGGCCATCGACTTCTGCCACTGCCACTCCATTTGGTGAGAAAATCAAGTGTCGAACAAATCAATACACTTTACCGGGTATTTTATATTGCATGGGTGATTTTGTATCTCGCCACATTATATTGGTCAGTAACTGCAGATACTGAGGTGGAAATACTATTAGGTATCCTGCGAGCGCGAGTGCAACACAGAATAATGTAATGCATAGATCTGTGTCCCACTGCTCCCACATTCGGCCGAGTGCTATGTTGGACACAGACGCACTACATTTTCCGTGTTCCACGAGCGCGAGCGTGATAACGAGTGTATCTTCAAGCAACTTGGAGTAACGCAATACATGGAGCCGTGGCCGTGCTACGTGGTTATATGTAGCACGGCTTGTTGCTATGGATCGACCAATCAGGATCGAAGATTCAAGTTTTGCTTGAAGATAAATGTAGATAACCTTTGCACAGCAGCCGTCTGATTTTTTGAAATAAAAAGTGCTACTGACAAATCATGTTTTGCGATAAAAAGATTTTGCATGGTTTTTCACTGTTTTACTTGACAAGTGTAATATCCACTGAGCTGAAACTTCAACAGGTTTAGATTTTGAACATTCTTTTTTAGATTTTGAGTGGTGTTATTATTGGAAACAAACAAAATGCTTGAAAGCAAACGATCATACAGATCTGGCTGCCAAATTCAGCTACGCCATCACAGCAGTAAAATCAATTAAGTGATTGTTTTTAACAACTACGAATTCCCTTGTCCACTTCTGTTGCCATGCATTTGTATACAGACTAGTAAAAACAGTCAGATCCCATTCGTGTAAACACTGACTAGTCAAATTCCATCAACAGACAAAAGAGGTAACTGGTTGGTACAGCTGGCTTATCAATTACCTCCAGTCAAAGCATGTTGTATCAAGTTAACAAAGGAATTCTTAACCGTTGAAAACAGTCACTTGATTGATTGTGACTGCTGTGATGGAGTGGGTGTAGCTAATTTGTCGGCTAGCACTAAGTTACAGATCACCTGTAGACTTTGTGTACACAATACAGCATTTCATAGTATGGCTACTATCTATTATACATGTATAACCAACATACAGATCCTTGTCATTTGATTGGTGGAACTTACATCACGTGTCATTCGTTTTTACTGCCATTCACGCCGGGCCTCAAAAAGTACTATCCGTACATGGGGAATGGAAAATATTATTGAACAGTTAGGATCATTCTTGTAATCTTGTCCATGACGCAGTATTTGTGTGCAAATGCATGCTGGTGTGCGCGTTCAGCGTTGCGCGTAGCGCGTATTGTTCCAAAGAGCCAGCGCTACAGCGTTGGGTTCAAACATTTTCGTGAAGGGGTGGTTTGGAAGAGAGAAATACATTTTTCACCAATTTTGTATTGAAATAAAAGTTCAAATATATCAAAATGAAAAGAATCTATATGTCAGTTATATAAAACAAATATTGAGTGGCTTTAAATTGTGACATGGGAGGAATATTATCGCTCGGTAAAATCTGGACTTTTCTAGTTCACTCGGTGATTCCACGCTGATCCACTCAATATTTGTATACTATACATGTAGGTCATTTTGTGGTGTACCAGGCAGTATTTTCACTTTGTTAATTTTTTTCTCTTCTTTTTCGGTCACATCAGTCACAGAGATTTGAAACCCGAGAATCTCTTGCTGGATGAGAAGAACAACATCCGAGTGGCGGACTTTGGCATGGCCTCGCTGCAACTGGACCAATCACTGCTAGAGACTAGCTGTGGGTCACCGCACTATGCATGCCCAGAGGTCATCAGGGTAAGCTGTGGGAAGGGGCAATTATTATTTTTTTTTACACAGCTTTCCAGGAGGAATTACAATAGAGACATTGGCAGATCCAGGGGGCATTAGGCCCCCCCCCCCAAAAAAAATAATTAATTAAAAATGAATGAATAAATCAATAAATCAATCAATCAATTATCAGCAAACAATTTTTTTTTTTTTAATTCATAAATACCTAAGACAGTTTACGCATTCCTATTGGTCGAGAGCCCGTCATGTAGCCGGTCTTAAACGGATGATAAAGACATGGCTAGCTGGTCTTAAACACTTTTCCAGTGTCGCATGAAATTTGGACTCCCATGAAATCCGGTGCCTTTTAACTTTTCATTGGTTGAACGTTCACATTCCTCACGTATGCATGCGCAATTCTACCAGTGAATCAGTATTTCATGGTCCAAAATTCATACTACACCAGCCCAACTGCGTTTTGCGCGACATCGCCAATGTCCTCATAAGGTAACGAGTTGTGGAGGGGCATTCCATATTCTAGTCAGAGGGGTGTTTCGTAAAACGTGAAGTAAACTTGTTGAACAAAATGGTTGGCAACGTCTTGTTTTTGACTTGTTTTGATTTTTGGACTGAATTTTTTTTTTTTTTTTTACCGAAAAGGTATTTATGCTTTGGGAATAAATATGTGTTCGGTCGGTATTAAACACTCTGTTTATAGACCGGTGGGAGTCTGGATGGGTGATAATTACCCGAGGCGAAGTATCACCCATCCAGACTCCCACCGGTCTTAAACAGAGTGTTTAATACCGACCGAACACACATTTATTCCCTTATTAAAACAATAAAATGCTTGATTTTTCTTTCAGTAATTCAACTGAAGCAGTAAAAATATAATTTTTTTTGTATTGATGCTGTAGTCTGTTCATCCCATTTTCCTCAATAGATTCTCAAAAATAAATAAAAATAAAAGCGAAAGGGGTTAAAAAATTCCCCTGTTACAAAATGCAATTTTTTCGTTTTTCAAGCGGTCGAGAGGCCAAAGATACAAGAAGTACGGTAGGGACCCTGAATAACTGTACCTACATGCCATTTGGGGAAATGAAAAAACAAATTCCAAAGATTTATGTTCACACTTATGTTTCATCCTTTGATTAAAGGGAATGTACATCATTGGCTTTTGCTGTAATATTCAGAAATTAACTATTGGAGGGGTTAGTATAATAGATCAAATATTGTTACACTGACATGTTTGAAGTTTTGTGTTCAAAAATGCTGGAAAAACTAAGAAAAACAAAAATGTTCAAGTAGTCTGGTTCCCTGACTCCACTAAATATGAAATGGATCAATTTATAGACGCCAGAAAATTGTATGGTAAAGGAACCAGTCTAGCGGGCCTGCACCCGTTCATGAACATGTAACCAATAGCAAACAAAATTTGGACTGAAAAAAAGGTAAATTGGAGCAGTAGTTAAAAAATAGTCAGGTTTTTCCAACGGTGGTCGGCTGACCACCACTGGAAATTTATACAAAAATACATGTACCACTTTTTTTGAAAATGACTTCACACCAGGTGCCATAATTTTACAGGATGCTTTAGACCGTCATTTACCAACATCCTACATGTAGTAAGGTATTTTGTAAAAATTTAGTGGTTTTGTTTTTAGATGTTTGCAAATGTTGTATATATTCCCTTTAATTGTAGTGTGCTATGCAATATCTTGGGGAGACAAACTTAGTATTCAAATGCACGGTATCTTCACTTCTTTCATGTCTTTGTGCGTCACAAACTTCTGGAATGATAGACCATTATGTTGCGGCCATCTTGGTTTTTTTTTTTCCTATTCAAATCTATGTAACCAAAGCGAGGCTGGAAGGAAAAATAGTTTGGTTCTTTTTTGGCACCAAAAAACATCATTCAGTACTGTTATTGGGTACAGGGAACATGACTGAAATGGTGGCAGCCTGATAAAGGCCTATTGCATGATGCGAAGTTGATAAGATAAGTTAAATGTATCACAAAAACTGGAACAAAAAAAAAAAAACGAGACAGGGCTGCAAGGGAAAATCTCCATTACTGCCGTGATAGCCATGTTAGCCTGTTTTTAAACACACCTGGCTAATGCCCTCATGTGCATCAATGTAACCGTCTGTCCGTAGACCCGTTTGAGAATACCCCCATCGCATGTTTTTGCTTGAGGCTACCCTCCAGTAGATAGATTTCTCATCAGTGTGCAACCGATCCAAGTTGTGTTGCCGTGGCGATGGGTATCATCGTCGCCGTCCTGGGAATACGTGGCCGAGATTCTTGTCCCGGCTGTGAAAAGTTTTCTGGACAATGAACGCTCCGTGGCAATTCTATTTTTAATAATAGTTGTTGACGATACAGGGGAGCTTCTACTGTACATTTACAGATAGGGGCTTTTTATGTAGGTTAGATGAATCGAGAGAAAAAAAACAACCATACATGTAAAACGATGAACCAAATTTCTGTCATCTCAGGATTGGGTAGGAAACATGGGTCATTCTATAATGTAAACTTTGTGTCCAAAGTGTGACTTTTTTCCTGTCCCTGTTACCCTGGTACCCAGTACTTTGTAAATTGCCATTCAAGTATCATTAACCCTCCTACTGTTTCAACAGTCAAAGACAGTCAAAATTCCACTTCCCCTGGCATGTCTTTTACACAGGCTAGTCACCAACAGTCAGATCATATTTATTTGTTTATTTATTTCTTATTTTAACTGGGTAGCCCATTCAGGGGAATCCACTGATCTCCCATGGGGCCCAGTAAAGAGAAGACAATGTGAAGAAATTACAGTTTTAGAGGTGGGAGGTAAAGCCCACAAGAATGTTCTGGGAAAACCCATGGAATCAGGCAGGGACTGAAAACCCAATCCACATGTTGGCCCAGGCGGGATTCAAACCCGGGTCACAGCGGTGGAAGGCGAGGAAAGTACAGCTACGCCAACCTGACTCCCCAATATTTCAAGCAAGCACTCTGACTAGTCAATCACCTACAGTCTGAATGTCTTATAAATTACCTACATGTACAGTAAAAGCATAGCTGTATCAAGTCACATAAACAGTCACAGCCAGTCAATCCATTATGTAGAGCACCATTGAAGCTATAGTCCATCATTTGCAGCTATCCAAAAAGTAACTGACGTAATTATTGTTGAAAAACATACTTGGTTGAAAGATAGTAAGGGGACTAAACTCCCTGTGAAATCATTCTCTCTGGCAAGCTGTAGTTTTGAAGAAATCAACCAAAGAAGGCCTTTCCGTCAGTAGTTCGTTTTTTTATTCGGCGAAGCGCGCGCAAGCTATGGCACGACGCACAAGATGCGCAGCTGCTATAATTCGTCGGATCGGTGCGCGACACCGCGTAGCTGCAGTCGGCTCGGTGAGAACGTGTCTCGGACGCTGAATTCAGGCCCAATTCAAAACATGATTCAGCAACTTTTGATTTGAAATCGAGATCCTAGAATGCTGTTTATCTCAAAATATACGGCTGAAGCTGAGCTGAAAGTGCCTCAGGTTAGTTGTTCAGCACCCTTCTTCAGATTTTTAACACTTTTGTTGCTTGAAACGAACAAAATGCACAAATTACAAATGATGGACTATACCTTTAAAAACAGTTACTTGACTAATTTTTTCTGAAAGGACAACTTTGCACAGAATGTACATGTATCTTTGCATTGGAGGGTTAAAAATGATTTCGAGCAATTTCTTGGGTATGTAGTTTGCTATTTATAATCACTCTTGGAAGATGACCACACGAAGAATTGCACAGAATTATAAAATCATAGACTTTAGATGTTACAGAGACAGGGAACAAAAGTGGACCCACGTGTAGATGGCCCATACTCATCAATTGTTTCTGAAGGAAAACAAGACTCCTTTTCAAGTCGCAAGCTCACATAGAAACTTAAAAAAAAAAAAAAGTATCAAATTCTGAGATTTTTGAGGGCCTATAGTCATGGTCATGATGGCTGTTGTCGTCCTTTTATCTCGTCCCATTCACGTTGACGCATTCACTCTACACGTTCACTGTTTGCTAGTTTCCTAAGCCGGTTGAATTATAAATAGACTGAAATTGATAGCACAACCTACTGTATGTATCTTTGGTGACGTGCACGATCTGCTTTTGCATCCGAATGTTTACTTTTACTCATTGGACACTGAAAGAAGAAATGTTGACGCATGTGTGCTTAACCTCAAATGCATGTCAACGTCTACGTGTACAAACACGCACATGACCGACACTAGTACATGTACACGTACCTACATGTATACATGTACATTAACATGGAATGCAATCTTGGCAACAGTACAGTCTGAGTCAAAAAGAAAGTGACCGAATTAGAAAAAAATATTTATAAAAATATGTGGCTCACGCCATTTCATAAAAATAGGGATAAAGTACATGTTATCAGACTAGTAACTGAAAATTTCAAGTAATTTGCGTACTCTATTCCCAAGTAATGTCTACTGGTATTTTAATTAATAATATCTTTTTTTATAGTACCCAATGTTGTGAGATTGTACATGTACATAACCTACCCCAAAAAATGCCGGCATTTCAAATCTTATTTTCCTCACCTACATGTATTGATCTAACAGCAAGAGTCCAATCTGCCAAACAAGACTTTTTATTTGAATGGCCGGTATGAGTTCCTAGCTTTGCATGTTTGTGTACACACAGACCACTTAATAATTAACAGGAAACATTATTAATTTAGAAGGATACACAGGACTGAGATATGTGCATAAAATTGACTGCTGTACGCCATGCAGGTTATAACAGTTGTCGGTTGTGTGGAAGCTAAGAACGGAAAGTGCAGTGCACACATGTGTTATTTGTATACATGTACCGTACAATGATCTGATACACTGTGCCCTCTGGAGACGTGCACACAATAGGGAATAAAAGATTGTATACGTCTCCACAGGGCAATTTCTATGGATGAATACGTCTCCACAAGGTTTTCACGAAATAGATATATGGATTTTACTCAAAAACTAGGAATTTCCAAGGTGGGTTGATCCGTCGCAAATGGTAGAGTTTTAGAAAAGGGATATTAAGTCTAAATTTCAGCCCAGGAAATTAATTCTGGTAAAAATAAGAGCATTTTGAAACTTCACTTTCAAACTCGAAAACTTTACTACACGAAAACAAAGAAATGTCTCCACAAGGATACAAATCCTGTGGTATTACAATACACGTTTACGGGGGGGGGGGGGGTGTTTGTTTTACAATTAGTTTCTTTCAATTATTGTACTCAAACAACTACACATGATCATTTACATGTACATGTACACTTTTCAATTACCGGAATTGATAGAACTTTTAATTGCAAAGTCTAGTAAGATGCACATGTTCATCATACAGCACGTCCCTAAAATGCTCCTTTTCCCTTGAAATCCGTTGATTTTGATTTCGACATGCCTTTATTTGAACAAGAAAAATTCCAAAACTCTTTGAAATATGAAACCAATACTCGCCAGGGATGAAGTTCAGATTCCGAGCATTAATTAAAATGGTATAAAAATAATGGCGGTACGTGTTTCAGCGCCGACGTAGAGCCTTGCAAAAAAAAGTTGCGGGTATTTTGGGACGCACTGTACACTTAACCCAGTACATGTAGATCTTCTGGGCAATTCCACGGTTACTCACGTTACATTTTTGATGTATTTTTGAGTTTCCTTGGGCTGTAATTACCTTACTGAAAAGGTTTAATAACTGTTATCCCCATGGTAGATGGAGTAGACCTAGACCTACCTAAGCACCAAAGATGACATCCAGAAAAATGTATTATGTATGATAAACAAGACGCACAAAATCGGTTACTCACGTTACGAAAATGTAACGTGAGTTACCGTGGAATTACCCTTCTTGATACCACTTGTGGGAACCTCAGTGCTGATTTAGTGGATAAAATACCGACTAACTTGAAGAGTTTTTTGTTCTTCTTTTTTTCTTTTTTGTTTCAGGGGGAGAAGTACGATGGGAGGCGGGCTGATGTCTGGAGTGCAGGTGTTATACTCTACGCTCTACTTGTAGTAAGTATAGGAAAGCATGTCTTTTGCCCCACCCCCTTCCCTGCGCATTGAAATCTTTAACTGGCGGATGAGATAAATTATAAGATTTACGGGTAACACCATGTGGAAAGATATCTCTTCTTGGAAGAAGTGTGGTTCTGAAAAGAACCGGTTGGTTGAGTGTAGAACTCCTATAGCACAGTAGAGTTCTACACTCAACTGTAAAGTTCTACACTCAACCAACCGGTTCTTTTCAGAACCACAGTTCTTGCAAGAAGAGATATCCTTCCACATGGTGATACCCGCAAAACTTATAATATAGATATTCACGATATAATTTGGGGTTTTTTCCCGACTAATATCCATGTTTTTTTTTGTTCTTTCATTTCTAGGGAGCGTTACCATTTGACGACGATAATCTCAGGAATCTTTTAGAGAAAGTCAAGAGAGGCGTGTTCCATATTCCTCACTTTGTCCCGCCGGACTGTCAGAATCTATTACGAGGGATGGTGGAGACACACGCTGAGAAGAGACTAACAGTAAGGATGAATAGCAAATTTACTGGCAAAAGAACGATTTGTTTCATTCGATTGACTGATTGTGAAAGGAAAATGTAAATTTAGCCTCCAAAATTTGTGAGGGGTTCTGGCAAAATGAGTTGAAACTGGGCACCGGCTGAAGTGGAAAAAATGGAGGAAAAAAAGTGAATGGAGGAGTTTTTTGTTTTTTTCGATTTCAGATTTATTGATATTTGTAATTTTTGATACATGTACCGGTACCTTGGAATAAATATGTTTTTAAGCAAAAAACCATTGGCACATTTCATTTCATGACGACAAAACTCAAAATAAAGGCTTTTTTTCTCAGTTTTCTACTTTTTTTGGGCAGCCATAACGCATCAATGGAATGCTCGATTGAAATGCAACAAACAGTATTGCAAGGAGAAATTTACAAAATGTATTCTCTTATACCCCAAACCCTCATTTGGACCTCTGCCCAGTTCTGTCTCATATTTTTAATTTTGTTTATTATTTTTTATTTTTGAAGGGGAAAAATGTCACAATGTCTCACATTTTCTCTATTCCTGGTTTAATGAGAAAAAAATGTTGGTTTTTCTTTTTACTTTCTTACATGCAATTACTAGAAGTAAAACTAAAATTGACTTTTGAGTTTTAAACAAATTGTGCATGATATAATTTGGTACATGTTGATAAAAACTTGGAAGGTAGCTGTGTAGTAAATTTCTACAGTCTAGCAAAAATATGGCTGCTGGCTAGTAAAAAACTACATGTACTTCATAAGATGGAAGTTTGCGTCGGGGTGATGTAAATCAAATTAGGTTTTGCCCTTCACCGACGTTTTAAACACTGTATACTCAGTGTGTTACCTCCCGAGTGAAAGTTGGAAAAAATTTACATCACCCCGATGCAAACTTCATCTTACAAATAGCTAAGGCGGTACCCGCTGCTGTGTACATCAGATTCGAACCAGCCAACCGATCCCGTTAGCTCGTTGGTCGAGTGGTAAGACATCTGCACTAGAAAGCAGGAGGTCGTGGGTTCGAGTGCCACCCGAGTGTTTTTTCCAACTTTCACTCAGGAGGTAACACACTGAGTATACAGTGTTTATACGTCGGTGAAGGGCAAAACCTAATTTGATTTACATGTACTTCAGTTAAGTAATTTACTTTTCAAGGTTATCAGACTAGTGAAAATAAAAATCAGTTGACCATTATCAAATCTAGCCATTATGAAAATTTGCATTAAAAATAAAATGTTAAAAAATGTCATTAGTTTGTTGAATTTCATACGGGCTTACGCATGCAATTTCTTCAATTTCAGTAACGAAAAGTTATTGCATGATTTCAACTCATTCACAGTACAGAATTCTCTGCTGCAATTTTTCAACCACATTTCTCAAAACCAAAAAAAACAAAAAAATTATAAGCCAGTGACACTTCTTTGAGTGGCATGGCCTTTCATCTTATACTCTGTACATTAGATTCGGTCTGTGAATTTTCTGCCATCACAGTCTCAAGGACAGCCATATGTTTCCCTCCAATTAACATCATAACAAGATTCTTCACACCAGAGAGAACCTGCCATATTGTGTAGTACCCTGTCTACCTAAAGGACATTTCTCTTTAGACATGTTAGAAAGCTTCTGTTAAAGATGTATTTCCGTGCTGTTTTTCGAGTTTGTCATAAAAAAAAAGATTTTTTTTTTTTGTCAATTGCTATTTTCCTAGTAATGAAAAGTTTATTCACTTTTGAGTGAGACATGGAACCAAAAGATCCACCAACGTTTAGTTATTGGATATTTTCTTCCAAAAAATTGAATCATTAGCTGCCAGACAATAATTCAGTTCTCACAGGGCAGTTTCGTTGGTCTGTAAAATGAAAGCCCCTTTTTTCAGGGGTTGCAGATGCCCAAATCAGAATAAATTAGTTTGTTGCATAAAAACAAAACATACCGTACAGGGTGAGTCAAAATGATCTGGACCAAAATTGAAGAAAATATTAAAAATATGTAGCAATTATCAAAACAAGTGCAAATGAGATAATTATGTTATAGGCTGGTTTTTTTGGACATAAGTGTATGTGGTGAAAGTTTCATGTACATATCCATTGTACCATTTTGAAGAAAAGCGCTAGCAAAGATCTTACACTTAAAAACATTCTGACCACGGTTCCATGGTTCAACAAATTTATTGAAATCGCATACTGATGTGAAGCAGTGTAACAAATAAAATCCTAGTCATGGTGACTGACTCACTTGAAGTTATTGACACATTTAAAAAAGGCAAAACCAATTCTGTGTGCAGACTGGAAAATGAGCCACTTCAATGAAAATGGCATAACTCCTCACCACAGCCACTAATTTGAAAACATTCAAAATTCCTGTGGAAGACAAGGTAATAACCATTCATATAAAACACTCAGTTTTTTTTTTCTTCTATATACTATATTTGCCCCCCCCCCCCAAAAAAAAAATGGTGAACTTGGGTCCAGATTATTCTGACTCACCCTGCACAGATTGAAATTGTTATGGAGAATTTTAAAAAAAATTTGGAAGAGCATGAGAATGCAACCTTTAATATCTGTACGACCATTTACAGGATTACATAACTTCGTTTCTCTTAAGTGCTTTTAGTGTGAGGCAAATTATTCTTGTCTGAATTGATTTTTTTTCCGACTTGAAAGCAATCAATGCAGTTGATTAATCTGCCGGGATGTTATGAACAACTGCCTTTTGAAACAGATGGAGAAACAAATGCAATGATTTCAATGTCAGACAGCAGTGTGAGCTGAGTTTGTTTGACTGCAGTATCATTTGGATAATACTCATGTGTTTTTATATATTTTTTTTCTCTATATTCTTGTATTTAAAATCTTTTCCTTTTCCATGTTTTCCCTGCAGATATCACAGATACAGCGGCATCCATGGTTTATAATGTAAGTCATCAACTCTCTCTAAATGTGCACGTAAACGTGTACAAATGATATGGGCAAAATGACTGAAAAAGAAAGAAAAAAAAACCAAACAAATCTTAACAAAAACAAAGGCTGTTTCGGCTGGTTGCCGAAACAGCCAAAAACAACAATATCTTTTTAGAATTAACCAGACCTTAAAATTAATTTATAATTGGAAGTATCTGCTAAGTGTGATGGAACTGGGCACAGACTGCAAAAACCAAATGGGGGTGATTCTTTTTTGATTTTCAGATTTATTGATATTTGTCTTTTTGATACATGTACTACGCATAGTTTAAAGAAATAGCATAAAATCATGGATTAAAAGTGGTTTTAAGGAAAAATAATTGGCATCTTTCATTTTAATGACTGCGAAACTTTAATGGCCTTTTTCTCAGTATTTTACTTTGTTGACATGTTGATAAATGCAAACGTAAACAGCCATAACTTGTCAATGGAATGTCAGACCAAAGTGCAACCAACAGTATTGTAAGGAGAATTTTTATTCTCTTTCCTAATACCCACAAACCCGCATTTCGACCTCTGCCCGGTTCTGTATCCTCTTGCCAGAACGCCTCACAACTATGGAAATGTCTGGCTTGGTTGATGTCCCCTTCAAAGCAGAACACAAATCTCTTATGATGCCCCTTAGGCCAAAAAAAAAAGTCTCCGGTTTCTGGTATGCGCGCGCGTCGCCGTAGCCATGCGCGTCGGCAAAATGAAAAAGGTTTTTTTTCAATGAAAGATGATGTCTCAAAACCGCCAAACTCACTGGTTTGACTGGAATCCTGCTGCTGCACAATTTTAACGTGTTTTTAGATGGGGTTATGATTGAGAATAAGCTTTATGTGGCCTCTCTGGTCTCCCATAATATTTGCACTAAGTTTAGTCGGGCACCATTTGCAGTCATTAGCCGACATTTGAAGCAAAAAAACAGGTAACCAAAAAAAAAAAAAAAGGCGCGTCGCCGCACCACTTTTTAGGCAAGCTCCATACCAGAAACCGGAGACTTTTTTTGTGGCCTCATGTTGAATCAAAGATGCACAGGACATATCGTCATAGGTCAGCGAAGTTACACTAACAAACCCTTCCCCATATCGGACTAACGGCGGCACTACCGACGGATAAAAGCTAGCCAGCCAATCGGAATGTGGACACAAATAAACCGTCATTAGAACATATCTCCCTGCAGTGTTTATATTTATCCCTGTGATTAATGAGAGAAATGTTCTGGGCAGTTATGATTTACTGTAAACCTCTGGCTGGGAAAATTTGTGGCGGTTGGTGGCATTCCAAAAGTAAATTTCTGAAATTTCTGCAGCATATATTTCATTGCATTGCTACAAACTAGATATTTAACTTATACATTTTTTTTTTTTTTTTTTTTTTTTTTAGGCTTTTGTTTCCATCCTGCTACCATTTCCATTACATTGCAACTCATATAACATTTCCATTTATTTGTTGGCATTTGCAGTCGCTTATAATGACATCTGTTTGCAGAATTGTCTTTATTAAATAACATCTACTAGTTCTGTATTACGTAGGTATACCAAGAAATAATTTTCATGTATTAAAAGAGATTCTTTACATTTACTTATGTACATGTAGCTCCGGGTTGATATTCAGTGAACGCCCAGATACCCCTTTGCATGACCCAGTATAACCCAATAGAAACATTGTAATACATTGTTACATTGTGTTACATTGTATTACATTGTATTTATACATTGTATTACATTGTGTTACATTGTGTTTATTCCAGAATGAGTCCATATAAACCATACATCGCTTTGCAGTTTGTTTGCAGTTTGCAGTCTATTGGGCTAAAAGACTGAATCAATCTTGTCAAGTTCATTTTTGTAACACCTCACCCACAGATTCCGTATCTTGATTGGCCGAGAGCGAGGCACACGATATTCACCTCGGGAGGCTAGTTTTTCTATACCACTTGAAGCAGTCAATATTCGTATACTGGTCGAGTTTATCATTTTCTTTCCGTTAAACCTAAACGAATCAAATGTCATTTGAGAAACTTGACAGTGTGACAGCGTGAAAGATGGTATGGATTTAGAATCCAGAATTATGAAATTCTTTTTATTTTTTCAAATGACAGTGGTTCAAAGAACGACGGACATGACACGGAACTACCCAGGAAAACCTCAGTCAAGGTAAAGCTGACAATCTTAATCTTTAGAAAAATTAAGGTCAAAATGTCCATCAAGCCTGCCCAGTGAAATTGCAATAGTGCATTCAGTGTAAGGAATTAAAATTTAAATGCACAATTGGAACTTTGACTTGGTTTGTCTTGCTACAGATCCCAGTACTAATGAGCGAGAACGATATCGACCCCGACGTCTTAAGGAGTATGGGCTCCCTAGGCTGCTTCAAAGACCGAGATAAACTCATCAGGAATCTACTAGGACAACAGTAAGTCCTCCTGTTTGTGTAGCAAGTCTACTTTCTCAATACTTCAAAACTTTGCAAGCCCGTTTCTTCATCTTTTAACTCAAAACTCAGTTCTCAGTTTTCTGAAATTCCCTCAAATCTTGAATCAGAACTTGAAGCTACACCCCTCTCCTCCATCTTCAACATTTGTACTTGAGTCACAACAATGTCTCATTCCATAATTCAACACTCGTTGACTCATAACTCATTTTCTACCCACAGCCACAACTCAGAGAAGGTGATATACTCGTTGCTGTTGGACCGGAAGCAGAGAAAACCCAGCTTTGAGGACGAGAGCGAGGCATCATCGAGATCTCGCTCAGACTCGGGTAGATATAAGACTCTCTGTTCACTGGTCGTTGTCATTCTCTTACTTATGTGGTCATCAGAAGAAACTGATTTCATCCAAATTTCACAGAAATACAAGCTCACGGTCCTGTGCACGGCTTCCACCCTTATTCTTTACAAACCCTCAAGTTCATGGCCCACAATATGCTCAAATACTGAAGAATTTAACGGCATGCAAATCGTGATTTAGCCGGCATAGAGAATTTCGGACCGATTTACTGGCCTGCACTCCTAAGGCATGTGTGCACCCTTCAAACGTTGGCATGGCCCTCTCTCTCTGCAGCCGACCCTCCCAGGAAGCGAGTAGACTCTTACAGGAGACGCTCTGCTGATAGGAAGACGCTAGATCCACCGGGGGATCTCCCCATGTCACCTGCCAGGAGGGCTCTCAAGGTGCATAACTTCAGCGGGTGAGTACTTGTTCACAGAAGAAGGGAGTGGTAGAAGGGGGGGGGGGGGTGTCATTCGGAATCCGATTAGACAGGGGTTTAGACAGGCATGAGAATTTTTGTGGTCCTCGAGATCAGTTTCAATTTGAATGAAACTTAGGAGGTGAGGACTGTCAGGGGGTCAAGAAGGGGTCAAGTTGACTCCTTTAACCTGTATTTTGATAGCTTTGAGTTGGCATCTGGCAAGACTTGCATGCTCCATTGAAAAAGCTTGTTGGGGAAGATGCGAAATTACATGTAAACAGGCAGTCACTTGAGGTGTACCTGATGATTTAAGGGGTACCTTGGGCTTCTAGCAGATGCAGGATCTAAGCGGTGTGAGTTTCAAGCGATGCCTGACACAACTGGCGGCCATAGGGCGTATTTTTAGATGCATCTGAAGATGCTTTTGGGGGATGTGCTTACCTGAGATGGTCGCTCCGCAATGGTAACTACGGAGTCAGATTTATCGCAGCTGAGTCCCGAGTGTGCCCCCCTGAAAACGCTTAATGTTTTTTTTTCCTAGGCTAGAACTGCAAGTGTCACGCTTAAACAAGACTTCAGATTGCAAGGACCGTGTTCTTTTGTGACAGTATGAGCGTCTTGGCCTGGATACAGAGTCACATTAAAGGCCTTAAACCATTTGTGACAAACAGAGTTGCAGAAATCCAAAACACCTCGGATCCAACACAGTGAAGACATTCTGGCTTGTTTAAGTTTCATTTTTCCCTGAGCAGAAAGTTATGTGCTTCGTAGCACCATGAAAAAAAGTGTCTTATTGAAGAATGTCTGTGTTCCCTTTTTCTCAACAGGAGCAGGAGTGTAACCAGCAGCCCCGTACCCTCCCCGCAGCACAGCCCCCGCCACTTACCCCGTCAGCACTCCAGCGGCGCCATGATGCCCATCCTCAACAGCCCCGCCCAGCCGACACCCCCGGGTAGCCCCACCAACACCCCCCAGCCTTCCCCGTCCCCGACCCCACAGCAGCAGCAGCCGCAGCAGCAGTCGCTGTGGCGGGCGCGGCTCAACAGCATCAAGAACAGCATCCTGGGCTCGCCGCGGTTCCACCGGCGGAAGATGATGCAGCCCACGGAATCTGAAGAGAGCACGCTGACGCCGGACAGCTCACCAGAGTGAGTCACTATCTTCGTTCGTTTTGGCCCACATCTCGTTCACTAAATTTGAACATCCAGCAAGAAAACCAGTCACTTGGACCAATTTTCGAAAACTTAAGATTTTGGGCTCATTGGAAAGGACATTGTATAACCTTTCCAATGATGTATAGAACATGGAAATCGGACAAATCTGACGGAATTATAGGTATTTTCAGTTCCCGATTTTCAGGCCATGGAAAGTTTTTTTTAAAATGAGAAATTTGTCATTAAAAGTTCCCAAATGAACTCCTTGAGACATTTAGAAATTTTAATTCATTGAAAATGAAACGTATTTATTATTCTAGCTGCTAACTCCGAAATCTGAATTTAGATAAGTTTGCCTGTGTAATTTATTATAGGCTGCTCTAAATACGGTCGTGTGACTGGTTTTGTGCTGGAGGGTCACATAATGTGCTTGAGCAGTCTTGTTTAACAGAATGGCTAATCCAGTTGCATACTCCCAAAGGAGTTGAAATTATATTAAATATTAAATATTTTTCGTTGACCTGATGAACAGGGGTAATAATAAGATGTATCATGCCATGAGCACGTATTTGATGACAAATGTGCAATTTGTAATGTATTATGTATTTCCCCATTAAACAGTTTTTAGGTAAATGATTGGAAAGATTTGAGGTATGTACTGAATGGGACCTGTTTTGCGACAGGAACATATCTGAAAATATAAAGCAGAAGTTATTTTGGATTCTTTCCGCTTTCTTATTATTCTCTATTTGCAAACAGAATGTCCAAGAAGTCATGGTTTAGCAGCCTGGTGACCAGCGATCGCAGCGAGGATGAGCTCTCCATGGCCATCAGAGATCGGACATTCAGCTCCGTCAAGGCGGACCTCGTACAAGCTCTACTGTCGGTAAGACATCATCTCACATAAGAGTGTATTCAAGATTTTCGGTTTTTGTCTCTGGCTTTGGAGATTTTTTGCGCAGGAGATTTTAGGCCCCAAACTTTGGGACTCTGGCTCCCTTCAGGTCCATGCTACAGGAACGTGCAATCTTTTGCCATACTATTGGTAGGTCCATTCAGCCAGAGGTACGTTTTACCGAAGTCGGTGCCGAAGTTTCAAAACGCAGGAAGAGTTCCTTTCCCTTTGCACAGCTGTCCATCAATTTTTTGATAATTTGAAGTCGCCCATAACAAGGCTGAAAGCCACTAATGGTAAAAGGCTTCTAAAGTATTAAGGAACCTAGATGGGCTTCTTGGTCACTTGCTTCCCTGTACCTCAAAGGCACCTGAGTGGTGTGGTATGCAGTGGGTTTTTTTTGCGGCAAACATCGTCAATGGATCATGATTATTCAGCTAGTTCGATGTTCATTCATAAGAAAATAACAGTAACATCGCTGTATTGCTATCGCTCAGTCATGCATGTACATTAAAGCATTTGAAAGAATGGCTTTCGTGGAGCTGCCACAGTGGCCTAGTGGATAGTGGAGTGAACTATGGATCGCAAGATCTGTGGTTCGAAACCACCTATGTCCATTATCATCGACATTTTTGTTGGTTGGGATAGGTTTTATTGAAGGGAAAACACTATGAGAACCTAAGTGTCTTCCATCCACACAGTCTGATAAATATTCATGTTGGGGTGCGTGAATTGATTGGTTGAAATACGATGTATGCTGCAAAAACAAATATGCGCACGGTACAGGTCTGTGCTATACATGACCTAATCTGAAAGCATCCACTACGGGACTCACAACAGATCATACTTAATGAAGAACCACCTGGTTAAGGCCGGAGCAATCCACACAGATGTTATACATCTAATATGAGCACCATTCACAAGTACCGCCTCAACAGCAAGAAAAAAGAGAGTTGGGGAGACCACTGGGAGAGACATTTGAACCAAATACCGTTGCCACCTGATGCTCCCGCAAAGACGCTGTGGCTTTGTGCACATTCAAAAGAAAATAAGTTGTGTGTGCTTTGTGCTATATGTCCCCGAATCACTACACGCACGGGGTGTGTCCAATCCACAAAACATTTGAAACTGGTAAAAAGCGCCCTCTGTTGTTTGCGCACAGAGTCTATACTGTACCTGTATTACCCCATTAGGTTTTAAGTCTGATAACTCTAAAGTCAAACGATTCGACACACTGATTTCTTCCATCATCTAGTTTATTTTTTACCTCGAAAAACTTTTTTTTCTGCTTCAGATTCAGGACCTGAGTCACAGCGTGCTGTCGCCCCACGCCTTCAAGGCAGAGCTGAAGCGCGGCGGTAGCAGCGCCGTCTTTGCCAAACCGATGAAGTTCCACGTGGAGATTCTCAACGCGGACGGCGACACTGGGAAGGAGAATCCGGTCCTAGTGGTACACTTCACCCTCATATCAGGTCAGTGGTCCGTGAGGGTTTGTCACCCTGCTTAGCAAGTTGCTTTCAGGTTAAGTGGGAAGGCTCAGAACCTCATCCTAGCTAGTGGAACACTTCACCCTCATATCAGGTCAGTGGGCCATGAGGTTTGTCACCCTGCCTAGCAATGTGCTTCCAGGTTAAGTGGGAAGGCTCAGAACCTCATCCTAGTGGTACACCTCACCCTCATATCGGGTCAGTGGGCCATGAGGTTTGTCACTCTGTCTAGCAATGTGCTTACAGGTTAAGTGGGAAGGCTCAGAACCTTGTCCTAGTGTTACACTTCACCCTCGTATCAGGTCAGTGGGCCATGAGGTTTGTCACCCTGCCTAGCAATGTGCTTCCAGGTTAAGTGGGAAGGCTCAGAACCTCGTCCTAGTGGTACACTTCACCCTCGTATCAGGTCAGTGGGCCATGAGGTTTTGTCACCCTGCTTAACATTTTGCTTACAAGTTATTTGGGAAGGAGAACCCCGTCCTAGTGATACACTTCACCCTCACATCAGGTCAGTAGGCCATAAGATTTTGTCACCCTGCTTAGCAATTGGCTTACAGGTGTAGTGGTTAATTTCAATTTGGAATTTTATTAGTGAGCCGTGAGCTTTTGTCGTCGTGTTTCCTGCCCAGCATTTGTGCTTTCAGGTTTAATGGTCCATTTAAGGCTGCTAGTAGGTCAGTGGGCTATACGCTTTTGTCGTCTTATAGCCTGCTAAGCATTATGCCTACTGGTTTGGTGGTCCATTTTCTTCTGAAGCCAGCAAACCTCCTGATGGATTTTGAATGATCAAGAAAGGTTGCGGTTTGATGTGCATTGTATGTTATCATGCTTTTGTCCTTTGAGATGGGTCAAGTTCCCGCAAAACAGAAGTGGATGGTCTCCACCCTCAATCCTCCAAAATCCTCAAAAACCTCCCAAACCTCTTCGTGGATGGTGAAAGATCTTGAAGGATCAGGCTTTTAATGACCAATGTTATTCTCCAAGTTGAGTAGTACCTTTCTAAATCCGCAAAACAAATCTTCAGAACTACCTGGTGATGAGTCTTAAAGGATATAGCTATAGGAGGGTAAGAATAAATGAAAGATTTTTTTTTCTTTTCTCAGGTCCTTCCAGACGGTTCAAGCGCCTGGTGGAAGACATCCAGTCCCACATGACCACCTCGCGAGGTCACTCCGAATCCTCGCTCCGCATGCTGCACTCGGGTAACTCCACGAACTCCGGCCCAGACGCCACCAGATCCCCCATGACGCAATCCTTCAGCACGGAGGATGAAGCAGACGAGGTGTTCTCAGATCGCGTGGCCGGCACCTCGGACGGGCTGCTGCGGGGGGAGAGGAAGAGCCGGGCCATCAGCGACGTCACCAACGGTAACGCATCCTTTAACTGACGTTAAACTCTTTTTTGAAAAAAAAATTGCGCAATGGAGGCGGAGAATTTGGACATGGCATGCATATTTAAAGGTATAGTCCATCATTTGTAATTTGTGCATTTTGTTCATTTGAAGCAACAAAAGTGATCAAAATCTAAAGAAGGGTGCTGAACAACTGACCTGATGAAGTGCGTCGTGCCAATGCTTGCGCACGCTTCACCGAATAACAAAACGAACTACTAATTTAAATTTCCTACGGTGCGTCTTAAGAAGCACCGTTGGAAAGGCCTTCTTTTGTTGATTTCTTCAACATGACAGCTTGCCAGAAAGAACAATTTCAAAGGGAGTAATTCCCCTTACTATCTTTCAACCAAGAATGTTTTTTAATAATAATTACGCCAGTTACTTTTCGGATAGCTGCAAATGATGGACTATAGCTTTAAGGTTCTTTTAGACTGTGGAAAATTTGGCTTGGCTTTGATGTGCGTGTTCGTCTGAGATTATGCAAATGTTTTGTTAACTTTTTTGAACGGGAAACACTTTTGGTATTGACATAGCATCTCCTCAACACCTGGGAGGGTTTTGAGAAAATTGAAGCAAAATGAAAGAAGAAACAAGCAAAAGAAACACTGTATTCGCAAAGGAACTTCAAGTTTTAGAAAAGGACAGAAAATTGTATGTACATGTATGTCATGTCCGATAACCTTTCACCCCTTTGAAGTTTGTACATGGATATGTATAGGTTAGCACAGAAAGGTAACAGTGGTACGATGCACGCTAACATGTTTAATATAGTGAAGGTTTGAGGATGAGACTATAAGTTAGTGATTTTAAGGATTTTGGACTAAAAGATGTGTTGTATACGGTAGGGTATTAAGGGCCCGTCTTAACTCATACCTGGGACGAGTTCCAGACAAGTTGATGTTGAATCATTCACTTTGTCCGGAAGAAGCTCTGCATTTGTCCTGGACATGTTCCGGAGCATGCCGGGAAAGTTTCATGAGCAATTGACCTGTCGCGGTAAAATCGCCTGAGAATCGCGTCAACGCAGTTTGTGAAATATTGTCCAATTACATGACTCTTATTGTCATTGCCATCAGCGGCGCGCCTATGCGTTATTTATGAGTTTCAAGTAGCTCCCACAATGTGGCGAACGCGGAACGCGCAAAGTCTGAGACAAACAAAACTTAGTGCATAGCTGCCAACTTTTCAAAATCCCAATTAGTAATCAACCCGCGCGGTCATTTTCAACTTCTCGTTTTATCAAAAGCTTTACCAACATCGAGTACAGGTACATGGTTTACATGTACATGTGCATACCCTTCTTGTTGTGAATAATAATGTACTGTAGGCCAAAAGATAATTTTAAAAAAATAAATAAATTAAAAAAAATAATAAAAAAAAATAAAATAAAGTTTTTTTTAAATTAATTTTGTTTTAATGTCTGTATTTGTTTGTTGAAGTCAAATAAATAATAACAACAATAACATGTGCGCATATTTTTTTTGAGATGCATGCTATCGATGTGTAGTTTCGAGTTCGTATCATGTTTTTACACACAATGATTTAGGGCCACCGTATGCAATAGAAATATCCCGCCAACATACCTTGCAAACGCATGCTGATTATCTTTTCTGTCCGTTGTGATAAACTCAAACTCTATTACCAATTATTCCAACCATACTCTTATTAAATTCCATGATTAAAATCTCGCACTGATGGGTCTCATTCGGGCAATAAGCGACTGAAAGTGCTCACGATCGTCACTGAAAAGTACTCACATACATGATACAGTACACACAACCACACATCCACGAGATGCACACAAATGACACACCATTGAAAAATATTTTTAGTCTGGTCCTAAAGTACTCCACTGCGCACACTACATTGATGTCTATCAGGTGCTTGACTGCATTCTTATTAGACTTGTCACCAGTCCATCCATTATCGCGACATTTCGCCAGAAGTTTTTGGTCAAAAACGATACTTTACAAGTATTTTTTTTTCGTTAGGTAGAAAATGGGAAATTCGTAATGTTTTAGAGGCAAATCGTATTTTCGTAAGTTAACAAACAATTCGTAATAATTACGAAAAAATCGTACTAGTTGGCAGCTATGTTAGTGTACAAAAATTCCATAGGGTTGTCTAAGGGGCGTGGCTAACTCGCAAACGGCGATAGGTCAATTGCTTGACTCACCAATACTGATAACTTCATTGCGGGAAAATTGCAGGGAAGTTGTTCAGAATCCTGCAACTTATCCGCGATATAATGTCAGCCACTTGTCTGTGATACAATGTTTGCAACTTGTCCGGAACTCGTCCCGGATATGAATTGAGAGGGGACCTAAGGGTTGTGCAATTCCATTGAAGCTGCAGGGTTGGGCCTACTTTGCCAACTGGAAGTAAATAGAGAAGCGAGTGCAGATGAAGATATATATTCTAAGGGCCACATTTGGTCATATTAACCAGGGGATCTGTATATACAGGGTTGCTGAATTCGGGCGATTCACAATGCAGTGCGCCACCAAGAGTTTGCCATGGAGAGTCCATTTTAAAGTTTACGGTCGACAAAACACGGCCCATTTGAATGAGTGTCAGTAGACAACTTGAGCTAATTTGTTATAGATTGGGGCATAGCGTTCTGCCGCCTTACAAAAAAAGAACATATTGATAAAAAGGAAAGAAAAGGGCAAACATATACTCGAATCATACGCTTACGAAACTACTGACTGGAAAAACGAACAATTTTTAATGTCCTGCGCTGCTAATTTGGCGACTATCTCCCACAATGCACTGGACAAAACTAACTCTTTGTGGCAAACTCTTGGTGGCGCACTGCATTGTTTATCGCCCAAATTGGTTGCAGAAGTGCAAAAGGGGGAACAAATGGGCTCCCGACATCCCACGTCACGCCCAGAACATATTGTTCAATTGTTATGCAGGGGGGAAGACTAGTTAAATTACTGAATCACGAATGTTTGGCAACGATGTTAAATGCTGAAAATTTGAAGAAAACAACAGAACTTTTTTTGTGATATTGACGACGGATGAACTGAATTTTTTAGCCCCAAACTTTGACGATTTACAGTTGTTTTTTAAAACAGAGTTACTCTTTTTGTACCAAAGTTCATAGTGGTCAGTACATGTTTAGATATTATGACCGAGTTGACTGAAGCAACGGTTTGAATCCTGACAGTGTTGAGATATACGAGTAGTTGTGCCATAACGGCCCGTAGTACGTTTGTAAATTACTGTCAATACTTTCAGATGGAAACCATTAAAATCGGGGCCCAAGTTTATAGCGATGCTAAGCGCACAATTTCTGCTTACAGAACTTCCGTCTATTTCACAGAGACTGTAAGCAGTAAGCTTACAAAAGGCACATTTACCTCAGGGGAAAACGTTGCTTAAATCAGTGACGTAACAATTGCAATCTCCATGCGCGCGCAACCGTTAGCACATCCATGCTATTAAATAGTGCTTAAGGTTAGCACAAATTTTCTGCTACAGTAAGCACAACATTTCTGCTTACTTTTAAGCAGCGCTAAACAAATTGGGCCCAGAGTTTAAAATATTTATTAGACATCTCTTGTCATGTAATGGTTCGAATGGCAATACAACATTGAAGAACATTTTGAACGTGTTCTGGATGTATTAATTGCATTGAGTGTTAAAAAAAAGTGATAATCTGCACAACATGGAAAATTAAATAAGGGGAGTTTTCGGCCATACAAAAATAAAAGTGAAAAAGCGGGCCCCAGAATGTAAAATTGCATTAATGAGTGCAGCAAACAGAAAAGGCCCGTTTGCTTACGTCCTGGTACGGCTCTAGCACTCCCACAAAAATCAAAGCTGCTTAGCTTGTATTGGTTTTCCACAGCGTTAAATGTACACAATGCGTGGATGCTTCTTTTTGTCATTGAATTTTCAAGCTTCCCAAAATTTGATTAATTCTGCCAGGGAGAAGATCTTTGAAAAAAATGTGCCCCTCTCCTCTTTTGTTAACTTTTTCAAAGCTAGATGCGGCGTCGGACAAAAAGCCTTTTCTGTTTCAATTCACGAGCCAATTGTAAATTGAAATGTGTGAAATGCATTCACTATGCGCATGTAGAAGTATGCCACAAAATGGTCGTTTGATTGTAGAGCCGTACCTTGACTTCATCAAAATGGGCTTGTGTAGCAGATTGCGCCCGGCGGCTTTCATTTTCCTTCTGGTTTCTAGCAGAGCTTTTTTGCTTTTATTTTTTTACGGGCTGAAACTCCCCTTATATAATTTCTAATGTTGTAGATTTTTGCAAATGTTTACACTGGGTGGCCCAAAAAACAGAACGGTATACTTCCACTACCTTGAGACCCAAACCACCTGTACCAATGGATGGCCAATCTTTTTAGAATGATGCCAAGATCTCCCGATTCGGTCCAGTAGTTTTTGCTGCAGAGCCTATTTTGTGAAGCACACATCTTTCATGTGGGCATTTTAGGTCTCCTTCAAATGACGTCATTTCCTACAGACCATCCACGTGCAACGGCCTTTTGAGCGTCAACTTGCATAACGCGCATCGGCTGCGTCGTATTTCAAACACATTTCGAGTAACAAGCGCGCATGTTTGGAACATTTTCCACACTGCGCAATGCGTGCTTGATTGCGTAAAATATGCAGTTGCAGCTCTTCTACAGAGATGGCTGTCATTGAGCGAGCCCTATCACATGACAATTAATCCCTCCATCCAATTAAGTCAAATTCCTGGGCGCGGTTTAGAAAATTATCGGGACAAAATGACTCCTGACCTCGTTTCACAAAATAGGCTCTAGAACAAAAACTACTGAACCGAATCGGGCGATCTTGGTATCACTTTTCTTTTAACAGAATTTCCCATGCATTGGTATAGGTTGCTTGAGTCTCCGGGAAGCGGAAGTACGCCGTTCTGGTTTTTTTTTTTTTGGGGGGGGGGGCCACCCTGTATAATCTTCACAGTTAGTAAAGTAAATGTACAAGTCATAAACACATGTGCAATGGGGTTAAGGCATGCATGATAATGGTATGTACACAGAAATGTGACCAACAGATATTATATTGAAGTATTTAATATGTTTATTTTATCTATTTATATTTATTTATTTCAGTTATATATTACA